TTCCACCTTTTTTTTTTTTTTGGTTTTTTAGATAGTTATCCAACTTTGAATTTTTCTTATACCTATTCATCATGTATTACCACTCAATGTTCAATATCCCTTTCAACCACGTCTTTTTCTTCATTTCTTATTCTGGAACTGATTTGGTGGAGCCCACTGATAGTAGCCTGGTGAGGTTCTTGTCATCTTAATTCTGGACTGTTGAATACTTTTTTTACTGTAGCTGCAAGCTTATTTACTCATGTACCCAAGTTTCTATATAATGAACTTTATGAAATGCTACAAGCTGCAGCACGGACAAATAAAACTCCACTCCAGGCCTCAAAAGAAAATAAAACTGCCGAGCCATTCTATCAACATTATATCCATACTGATACAAGTTATAATATCCCTTATACAGATACAACAGAATATATAAACTAAAATAGCAAAATTGGCATTCGTACATGAGGCTTCAGAATAAGGAAAGTCTTGCAACAGGAAAGGAGAATTTTTTTTACCTTTTCTAGGACAGTGGGTTCTGTTGCATTTGCTAACTCGAGCAGCCGGAAGAGACCGACAGCAAAGAATCGGCTGTAGCTGAAATTTCCTTTGTTCCCTGCTCTTTCTGCAATGTCCTTTAAGGTGGCTTCAACTTCTCCTTCCCTTGATGCAAAATCGACTAAAGTACTGGCAGTCTGAGAACGGGCCCATTCTTCTAACTTCTGTGCATCAGCCCTGCAATGCATAAAATTGGACATAAAATTTAATCCATGAGAGCTTAATTCTAACCATTCAAGACCAAGAAGAAGGCCACATCCAGTATAACAATGAAATTACACAAAGGCTATATAAACATCTCTCTTCTCCACAATTAGCAGTATGATTCGTAGAACATAACCAACACTTATATGATGTACTGGCTTTTTGAAATGTTCTATTTATCAGACTTGGTGAATAAGTAGTATCACATCAGCAATATAAATTTTTCTTATTTACACTACAAGACAACTAAAATGAAACTAGTCCAAATAAGCATTGACTCAATTTGATTCACATCACCAGTCGCGAAAACAAATTAAGGGTTAAGGGATGTTTAAGACATACCTATATTGATCAGGGTCCTCATTTAGAGCCATAATATAAGCTTTAAAAATAGTGTCTCGATCCTTATCGCTTGGGTAGCCCTCCATGAGCTGATCATACACGGTAACAAAACCAAGTGCAAACACAGGATCATATCGATATGTACTCTTGTACCGCATCAAATGTTGTTGTACTATCAGCTCTTGCAATACAGTGTTGTATATACTTGGAACCGGCTTCTTATATGCTTTCAAGAAATTTACCTTCGTCTCAGACACAGTAGGTACATCTGAAAACAACGAGCATCCAAAGCAAATGCCAGGAGTTTATTATCTGGAATTTAATCAGTAAATGAAGTAAAAACACATATTTTCAAGGGGAAAACTGAAAGATGGGGGCCTGAATCAAATCAGTTAAATTATAAAAATCTAGAAATGTCATCCTTCGATAAAGAATTCCATCTCACAGTATCTATCATATTCGTGCAAGGTATGAGTAGACGAGCATAAATTACACCTAACTGTTATAGCTAATATAAACATTGGTTTCAATTGTCGCAATCTTAAATTGTCAATTCCCTAACAGAAACTACTCAATTGAACCATTAAATTGATAATGCAAAGATACAAAAATTTATGCCCAAAATGCTACTAACAGGTGTCGGTTCAATAAGTGAAAATTCAAAGAAGAAAACAGTTCAATTAACAACAGAATTAAGCAAATAATAAGTTCAACATTGTATTGAGCTCACTAAAATTTCTACCTTCCTCCAGAAATTAAAGCCGTACTCCCACTCTGACCAGTGAAAAATACTTAGTTTAAATCGAAAAGACCACATTTTTTTCACAAAATCTACGAAAATTCCGCAATGACCTAAAACTTGCCTGTGGAAGTTGACATGCAATGAATTACCACTCGTGAACTCGTCGAAACTCGAAGATTAAACGAATCGCGAGTTGAAATCCCGCTCCGAAACTTAAAAGCATCGAAATTGGAAGCCAAATTACGCGCCGAAGGAATTGGAAACTTGGATAGACTAATCGAACTGAAAGAAAAAGAAGTTACAGCCGCCATTTTTATGAATTACAGAGAAATTTATTGTTTGTGTTCGTGGAAATTTGAGTTCAGAGTTCCATTTCTTCGGAAGGGAAAGAAGAGATTATGCAATTTTCGGATTTTTATCGTATGAAATTTTTGAGAGAGAGCCAATGAGCGTTTGACACTTGGGACTTTAAGCAGGTTGCTGACCTCTGAAATCAGGGATTGACATATAGATACATTCATATATCATAAATATATAAATAAATAATGATATATATATAAATATATAAAAAGA